AAATTAAAAATAATTTCAAATGTCCAAAAACTTAATCTGAATTACTATTATCACGAAAGCCTGGTGTGGTTGGTTCACAACACTCAAGTAAAGAAACAATCCTTGCTGGCAGTTTTCTCTTCTTTTTGAATCTTTGGCGTTTTCCAACACATGATCCTTGAACCTTTGGATCACTCAAATCTGTGAGCCTGTGGAACATATCAGCCATGCCATGTGCCAATGAAGACTTTGTTGTATGATGCATTCTGAAGTTTCTCAAAAACTTATTTTTGGATTCAGATCCTTATTCACTTGTGAGTCCAATTGGAAGAGGGCAATTGTCAATAAGATTCTTGCCATGTTTGAAAATTTTTTGAAGTGTTGGAGGTAGAAAATACCAATCACAGCCATTCTCTTCATCAAAATAAATTTCTTAAGTTTCCTTGCAAAGTTCAGCAAACTTTGTTGAATTGATTGCAAATCCACTTGATAGTGCTCCCCAGATTTTGGCAATGTTCTCAACACGTTTAACTGGAATTTTACAAATCTCTGCTGTAATTGCAGGGTTCTCAAAGGCAATAAGAAATGAAGCACTGCTTTTCATGAATTTTTCAAAATAGTAGTTGCATTTCCTGTACCGTGCAATGACTTGAGACAAAAATTAGTTGATTTTTGATTCCAAATAATGGAAATCAATTCTGCAGATGTTGGAAGTTCTGAGTACAGAAAAAATATATTCTTGAATAACTTCTAATTGACCATTTCTGTCCGTAATGGCAACATTACTCTCTTTCATGACTTGACAAATGTCCCCATTTTTGATTTCAATCAACTTAGTGTCTTTTGGACATCTGAAAGAAAAATTATAAAAGCTTTTAAGCATGTTTTTTTTGCATTTACTATCAAATGAAAATTGTACATTTACATTTTGTTTCAGTAGCATGAAATATTTGTAACCGAGAGAGAGAGCTGTTAATAATTTGCCTGAAATTGTTCTTTGGTTTTTTTAATGCTAATAGAAATATAGGAAAAGTTAAATAAGATAAAAATTTTTACCTTTAAACCATAGATGATGTCTCAAATTAAAACATTGTTGTTAACGTTGTAGAAATTTAGTACTGAACAATTAATTAAACTGTTAATTGCATAGCTTAAATAATAGGCTTGCCAATGAATACCCAACTTTTTATGTACAATGTTCAATCAAAAGTTACGTCTTTGTAATTTTTTATTTAAATTTTAAATTTTTCGTCGAAATTTTGCCGCCAAAATTTACGGCAATGTACGTAAATTTGTCGCGCAATTTAGAATGCGCGGGAAATTTAGGATTGCCATGGCAATGGCATGCCAGCTGAATGAATTGATTTAACTTTGAAAGGGGGACTTAGGGGGGTATGATTTTAGGCAGAAATGGTTAAGTGATTCTTAATCAATATTTTAAAGTTTGAATAGAATTGGACAGAGTTGGACAAAGACAAGAAATTTAATTCTTCTAATCTTTTTAAATAAAATTTGGTCAATTTTGAAAATGATCTGGCATCCTTTACTTTCTATGACTTTCAAGTTAATCCCTTTACATTGAGTTTCATTTTAGATTAATCTTACTGCAAAATTTTCCAAATTTGTAAAACTGGATATAATATATTAAAATATTTAGCCCTAAACAGTAAAAATATTAAGGCATTTTTCAGTTCCAATAATTTGATTTTTAATCCCTGCTCTTTGAATGGGACGAAATACAAAAATTCAGTGCACTAGAGCAAAAATATTTTAAGTACATTTTCTTGAAGGTTTGAGGAATTATTTGGCATAGAATTTAGTTCTTTTTTAAAAACTAGTATTTTTGAATTATTTCGCATTTTCAAGCCTTTCTGACCACTGTGCAACCTTTTAAGGTATATATGGCAGAAAAAAGAAAACTTAAAAATAATACTCAAATAATATCTAAGTGCCGTAATGAAAACAAGTTCTTGCTTGACAACCACGAGCCTAAAGATTAAAAAACAAAACCACGCTTGCAATTAGTAACATTTTATAATTGTTTTTGAACGTCACGGTGTTATTACATAGTATATTTTTTAACGTAAAAAACAATGTATTTTTACCTGATGATTGCTAAACGCATGAAACTTTTAGTAGTAAAAGTTATATAGTTATTTTTTTAATAAAAAGTTATGTAGTTATTTTTTTCGTCAAAAAATCAATTTTATATATATATATATATATATATATATATATATATATATATATATATATATATATATATATATATATATATATATATATATATATATATATATATATATATATATATATATAGAGCTTTATTATAATACTGAAGTTTTAGCGATTATATAACACAGAACTGCAGACGCTGCCTAATTTTTCGTTTTTTAATTAACTAAATTTATTAAAAATATTGTAAACGTCAACTTATCTTGACCTTTCCTCAAAAAGTATAAATCAGTATAAATCAACAGCTATATTTAAGTTTCTTTAAGTGGAATATTAGTATATAAGCTTTCAACACCTTCGGAAACTATATAATTGTTAGTTATAACAACTTGTTTTAATTCCTCGACAAAAGAAAAAGAGTCACAGGTGGAATAAGATTTAGTTATATAAGGAGACTGCAAATCAGAAAGATGTTTGGCAAGTTTATAATTAAATGTCCTGATTGTTGAACTAATTGGTCTAAAAGGTGGTAGAAAAGAATCTTTACTAAGTTTGTGCATTTTAGGTAAAGCATAAGTTCTTGCTGTTTGTGAATCAACAGGATAAATTTTATTGTAAATTCAAAATATTTTCAAATTATTTTCAAACCAATTATGTTTTTTAAATTTCCTTAAATATCTTTGTAAAGATTTTCTAATTAGTTGGATTTTCTTTTAACTCCTTAAATTTAGTTTTATTACATATAACATTTGTTAAGGATGTAATATAGTCAACCTTATTGAAAATAGTTATACCACTGCCTTTGTCTAGTTTTGTTTTCATTTTTCTTTAATCTTTAATATTTTGTGTTTTGTTAGACATCCTTCAGATGGTTTGTATTTATATACATAATTGTTCGCTAAATGAGAAATTTCGCTTTTAAGTTGAATCTCTGAATCTCTGCTTCTAAGTTGAGTATTGAGAAAATGTGCAATTTAAAGATTTTTTTTTTTTATACAATTTTTTAAAACACAAAACAAATTTTTTATGATATTCTATTGATATAATACACCTAACATATACAAAGGTATTGTATATTGAGAATTTTTCAGTTCGAAAAATTACTTTAAATCTCAACATCCGGTTCTCATTTTTTATTTAACGGAAATTATGATAAATTGGATGGTGTTGCCATGAGTTCTCATTTAGCGTCAATTTTAGCTAATAGTTTTATTGAATTTCACAAACAAAAATGGTTTAGTAATTGCCCTTTTTTCATACCGATTTTCTATAAACTTTATGTGAATGATACTTTCGCTATTTTTAATTCAGAGTTTGAAGCTCATAAATTTTTTGATTATCTTAATAAGAATATGAAAACTTAAAATTCACTTTGGACAAAGAACAAGTTAAGGTGATACATAACCATAAAAAATAAAATTGGAAATAAAACAATGCACAACAATTTTTTAATTTTTTTTTTTTATTTAAAATAAATTATTTAGAAATAATTGAATTAAAAAAGTAGTTAATCAAGTATTTTTGCCTCGATTGCTTATATATATTTTGGTATATAATGATATACCAAAATATGTATTTTGGTATATCATTATATACCAAAATATACCAACAAAAATAATTATCCTTCAATAATACTACACAAAAAATTAAACTTTTTAACAGTTTATGGCAGCAATATCATTAGTAAACACTTAGAAATATTGCATACCAAATTTTATTTTTGTCCCATGCTAAAAAATAAATTTTTTTTCTAAAGATGTGTCAATGTTACACCACCTTATAACAGATCCACTTCCTAAGCTGCTCAAATCCAATGTTGTTTACAAGATTTCTTGTGCAGGATGTAATGGCAGTTATATTGGAGAAACCTCCAGACACTTAACAACAAGAATTTATGAGCATCTTACAAGTGACAAACAATCTAATATTTATAAACATTTAATTTCATCTGTTAATTGTAAAAATCTAAGTAACTACAATGTTTTAAATTTTTGAAAACTGCTCCTAACATAAACAAATTGAAAATTAAAAAAACACTTCATATTAAATGGAAAAACCCATCTTTAAATAAACAAACTGCTTATTGTAATATAAATTTGTCAATCTAGTTTGTTTATTTACTTGTTATTTTTATACTATTTACGCTATGATATTTTTTATTGGTTTCTAATATTTCTATTTGTCTGTTAATATTTCTCTTTAATGTCTTCAAATTTTGATTTTATATTTTGGAGTTTTAAATTGTAATTTTATCTTTTAAAAATGTATATGTAAACTTCGAAACATGTCAACATATCGTGTTTTTCTAACAAAAAATTTCACGTTTATTGCTTTTACTCAAGAAATGTCTATACTGCCCATCCTCAATATGGGTAAAGACGAATCTTATACGTGGCTAATACGTCTTTAATAATAAAAAAAAATTTTGGTTAATAATTTTTTGAGTTTTAAAGCCTACTTTTTTCTTTTTTTTTAATGTTAAGTGAGATTTTATTTGCTCTTTAAAATACGGCTTCTTGTACAGTAGATACTACTGTTAACGCATTATTAATTTCCACATCGATTATTATTATGAAAGTTTAAACATATTTTCATTAATATCATATTTCAGTAACGCCGGCAAACCAAATACTTTACAATGTTCAAAATGATTTTTTCATTAGCACTATATTCTTAAAAAAATATTTATTTAAAAAAGGACACAAAAGTGGCTCTGCCTAAGAGCTTATGAATAATTTGGAAACATTTGAATCATCACTGCCGTTTTTTTCTAAATATTTATTTACACATTTTTCAGTTTAAATTTTTGTGAATGATATCGCCAAGCTGTTAATGTAACGCATATTGGAACTTAACACATGTTGCGCATAATGAAATTGTTTTAAAACTTTCTCTGAAAATATAAACAAAATGTTGGTGGCGCTTTTTAGAGAGCTTTTTGACATAAACTACTTACCTTGGCTTTATAAGTAATTGTAGTAACAATGGAGAAACAGATAACTTAATTTTGTTTTAATTTTTATAAAAAATTTAAATGGAGACGGAGGCCAACGAAAACGCAAGTGCCACTCAAAAAAAGACATTAGTTTCGCATTTTGAGTCTTTCAAAACTTTTCTAAAGAGTTTTTGCAAGGAGCTAAGAATGTCACCCTGGAAATCACTTATTGGTCCAGGAGAGTTACACGAGAATGATTTTTCCCTTGTTCATCTGTGGTATATATTTATTTTATCGTTTATTCCAGTGTGCAGTTTACTAACGAATGTTGGGTTAATACGCCCATATATCGGCACTGACAGCGGTTTATGTAACTGGGATGTAAATCGATATAAGTGTGAGAGTATAATTGTTTTTTTTATTACATACAGAATAAGTTTTGCGCTTTCTGCTTTTTTTTTGCTGACGGCAATACTATTAACGCAAGTCAAAAAAGAAAATGCGTATGGCACATCAAGTTTGCACACTGGATTCTGGATTGAAAAAATTATTGTTGTTCTAGTAATATCTTGCGTAGCTTTTGCATTTCCACCGAGTACATTTGATAGAGTTTGGATATACTTTGTACTTTTCAGTGATCTCATGACCTCAACTTTACAAATGTTTTTAATACGCGATGCTTCAAAATATCTTCATGAAAAATATTTTGTTATTAAAAAGAAAAATAACACAAAGCATGTTCAGTTTTTTTTAATTTTATTTTGTAGTATGTTCTTGTCCACATTTATCACCATTTTCTTCATTTCTTTTTCAATTTACGAACAAATTATATCACCAAGTAGCACACAATTTAGTATCTTAGCAACAATTGTTACAGTTACAATAATATTGAGCTTTTTGGTGTATACCGCAGTTCGTGAAAAGCAAGAGTTTTTTTCTTCTACCCAGGTTGCTTCTTTCTGCGGATTATTATTATATAAATCATCAACTTATCACATTTCAAAAGATGAATCAAATGTAATTTCTACAGATTTTTCAAAAGTTGTTTCAGTTGCAATGTTATACATAACAATAATATACGCTTTTGTCAGAAAAGATCGTGTATTTTACTTTTTTTATTTCAAATGGACAATATGTCGAGAACACTCTCTTGTAGATAGACGATTAAAAGTACCTTGGAATACCAATGAAAAAAAAAACAATAAGGTTAATCCTAACGAGACCTTGCTTGATCTCGATGGAGGCATAGATCCAAAACCATTAGACACTATAGACTTAAAACAATCGCAGTTTTTATTAATTGATGTTAAAGAACCTGGTACTCATGTATCGTACAACGAAGCTTTGATTCATGCAGTGTTGTTTGTGGTTTCTCTAAAATCAACTGGCTTAGTAACAAACTATTTCCAGCTCTCTGGATCTACAGAAAAACTGCACTTAGAAAAAACTTTAGCTGCATCAGCTGCGTTGCTTTTTTGCAGTATTTTTGTTCCCCTTCTTTATTGTTGGTTTTTAGTATTTAAACATTTTACGTATGAGTCTATAAATCCGCTTTCAACAAACAAGTTACTTGAAGAATTTTTAAAGGTATTTTGGCACATTATTTTTATAACTTTTGTTAAAACTCCACTATGTTTTAAAAAGTCAACTCTTTCTCGATATGTTTATACCATTTTTTTCTTAACAACATTTACGTTGGCGTGTGTTGGTCTGACACCACTTTTTAGGCGTTTTTTAGAAAAAACAACTTTTTTTTGCGACCATGTTGGCGCATTAGGCGCATGTATGTCAAAAGATCCAGCGTTTATTGGGCTCTATCGTGTTTTTGGAACTGCTGGGATTTTTTTCTTAATTCTCTCAGTTCTTTTAATGAGAATAAAGACTGTTGACAACCCACGTGATTCAATTCATAACGGAAGTTGGTTACTTAAATTTATTCTATTAATATTAATATTTGTGTTGCTTGTAAATATGCCTAATAAATTCAGTCGAGTATGGCTTTACACTAGTTTGTTTGCTACATTTGCATTTGCGTTTGTGCAGTTGTTATGTCTTCTTGATATTGTGGACATTATAAATACCTCATGGACTGAAACTACAAAATGGTCTCCAAATACTGTTTATGTCAGTTCAACAAGTTTAACTACGTTTATGTACGCAATCTCTACAGCAGCATTTGTATGTTTTTATGTCTACTTTGCTCACAATTACAATTGCCGTGTCAACCGCCTTTTTATTAGTATCAATTTGGTTATATGCATTTCAGCTAGCATCATTTCCATACATCCAATAATCAAATCAGGAGGTTTGTTACGTTCAGCTCTTGTGACCTCATTTTGCATGTATTTAACTTGGTCAGCACTTAACTATAACCCTAATGAAAAATGTAATCCCCTGGCACATACTATAATAATGTTAGAGCCTAAACCAACGCGAGATGCTGTATCAATTATGGATATTTTTTTTCTCGTTATCACACTTATTTATTTTACTACACGTGTTGAAATTGTATCTTTTAATATGGAAGAATTGTTTCCAAAATATTTATTTCACTTAAAAGTTTCTAACGCTAATAATACTAAAACAAATAATGAAAATCTTACAGAAGAGCAACTACAAAAGCGTACACAAAATAATCAATTTCATCCAACAAATAAAGAAAAAACTCTAAAAGATAGAATACTTTTTGGTGAAAACTGTTGTAGAGAGTATTTACATAACGATTCAAAATGCGAACAAGCAGAAGTAGCTGTTCAAACCGCTTATAGCTATACCTGCCTTCATTTTGTATATTATCTGGCCACCTCGTATTCTTTTGCCTTACTTACACACTGGTTAGAGCCTGTTCCAGGATCTGCATTCAAAATAAATATTCATTGGGCAATCATGTCAGTAAAAATGCTTGGAAGTTCGACGTGTGCACTATTATATGTATGGTCATTGATTGCACCAACTTTAAAAGCCATGTACATAAAACGACAAGACATTTAGTTATTTTAATACAATCAGTATTTTGATTTAAAATAATAATGACAACATTAATTATAATAATTTTTAATATTTTAACTAATATTTAAATGATATTTTAACTAAAAAGTTTAGAACATTTTTTATGAGAACTATTTTTGTAACTTATTCACATATTTTAGTTAGTATTTATTATTTATAAACAAAAAGTCTAAAAATAGTAATATTAGATGTTCTCTGCTATTTTCTTCTGCCTGCAATAGCGTCCTTAGTTAAAAGAATATTTATTTAAATCATATTACTCTAAACAAAACAAAATATTAGAAACAAAAAACCAACATAATAAATAGACATATATAATGATTGTATATAATGGTTATATATTTAAGTTTAAACCGATAATTCGATGAGTGTACAAAATACAATTAGACAGCTATATCATTTTGCAACATAATTATTTAAAAACCAAAATTAGTCGATAGCTGATTCAGGGCAGTACCAATTTAAAATATTTTGTCAGAAAAATTAGATTTTGGACAGACACCTCACAGTCTTTTCTTTTCGGTAAGACCCTGAGTCAATTTTATTAAAAGTTGCTCTGTTTATTAAAAAAATAATATTTACGCAAAAAATTTGTTATTTCACGATTATATTTTATATGATGACCACTTGCTGATTGATAACATTTTAGAAAAATTTCCTTGGCTAAATTATCTTTTCAATTTAATTGAGTATCTTGTACATTTAAATTAAATTACCCATAGAGGTCATCCATAAATTACGTCACGCAATGTTTGACCGTTTTTTACCTTCCTCCCCTCCCTCCCCCCCCTCACCTCCTTATCACAAAATCATAACACTTAAAAAGCTAATTTTGAATGAGTCGTTACAAAACCACCAACCCTCTCTCCCCCTCAAAGCGTGACGTAATTTATGGACGACCCCTTATCTAATCTTTCACATAAAACAGCTTATTTATTGGCGGTATCAATTTAGTAGAACGATGCTTAACTTTTTCTAAATTATTTACTTCATTATTAAGATATGGAGACAACACAAAACAGTAAGATGCAGGGTGGCCAAAAATCAAAGTAACATAAGCTTCGATTCGGATTAAGCAAACCCAGTGGGCACGCGTTGTCCGGAGGACGTATCAAGGACGTCCAGACGTCCGTAAGACGTCCGACGGACGTCCCCCAGACGACGCATGCCCTCTGGGAGGCAGAATAAAAACTTAAATTATTGATAAGAAAATCTTCAAATATTATGTTCGTGTGATTTGTAGTTTCAAACATATTGGTATTTAAATTATATTTAATTAAAAATATTTAATTATGACTTATGATCAAGGATTATTACTTAATAAAAAAAAGTAAGTTGGTTTGTTCTTGCAGGCATAGAAAAAAATTCTGCTTTCACAATACGATTTCTTTTAACGGTTTTTTATTTTGTAAATTTTGAATAATACGGCTGAATGATTGCCGAATGGCATGAAACTAATAGTTATATATATATATATATATATATATATATATATATATATATATATATATATATATATATATATATATATATATATATATAGTTATATATATATATATATATATATATATATATATATATATATATATATATATATATATACATACATAAATACATACATATATATACATACATACATACATATATATATTTAAAACATTAATAATATATATATATATATATATATATATATATATATATATATATATATATATATATATATATATATATATATATATATATATATATATATATATATATATATAACTAGTTTCCTAAGATGAGCTGTTTTAAGTTCAAAAAAACTCAAAATAACAAAATAAAATAAAATAAAATCTTATATTTGAGGGCTATAACTAAAGTAAAAAGTAATTATCTCGGCCATAAAAAAAAACCATAATAAATCTTTTTTCTCTCTAAAGAAATTTGTGCTACTATTTTTAAAAAAAATTTTCACTCTTAAAATACCAAAATGAAGCACTGCGGAGGATAACTTTAAAAAACACGCTTTTCTTAATTAAAAAGAGCGTCTCAAAACATATCATCTCTTAAACAGCATAGCAACAGCTTATGTATTATCTCATATAACCCACGGAATTAGCATAAAATATTGAGGATGTAATAAATTTTTGATGATCTTGTTTCGTTCTGAGGTAATTATAAATAATGAATAATGAAAAATTGTAACGGGGATTGTAATTTTTTTTAAAAAATAATAATGAAAGAATATTAACTATACAATAGGGTACGTCATAATATTATTTTTTTTTAAAATACCTATGGGGAGTGATTTTATTATCAGTTGGGGTTAAGCAATTTTCAACCAAAAAAATTTTTTAAAAATTTGAAAAATGTGAAAAATACATCTTTAAGACAAAAAGTTAACCAAACATTACTTATGTCTTTTAAATTTTTAATTATCCAAATTTTAATAAGTCCATTTGTTTTTGTAATTTATGAATTATAGAACACAATTACTTTGTACTTGTTATTTTCTTTGCGTTTGTAGTGATTTTCATAGTGTATATTTCAATATCAAAAAGTTACAAAATTTGTTGCACCTTATTTGCGCTTTTTCATTATAATTATTTTTGTTTTACATTAAATAAAATAGAATATTGTGTTATTGAGAGTTCAAAATTGAAACAAACTAGACATTCTTCTACAACTAATTTAACTAAGTATCTTGAAGTAGGAAAAGATTGGTTGGAAACTGAAGTTCCTACGCTGAGAGATGTACTAAGGAAAGGTCTACAAAAAGTTTGCTTCTTTCTGATGATCTTGATAGGTGAGTTTTTTGAAACTATATTATGATATAATATAAACGATATAATTTAGGTAGGCACAGGACGTCAAATAACATCCATAGAACATCTATTAGACATCTGGACACCCGCTAGGTGTCTTAGGACGTTTAAAGGACGTCCAAGTATTAGACAGTTCAAGTATTTCAAACGACAATGTTAAAGCAGTTTAAATTTTATATTTTTTTTAAGAGATATCGTCTACCTATACAAGAAATCTCGTTGGTATTGGCAGACTTGGTATTGAAAAAATGGTCTCAATCAAACGCTTTGTTTAAGACTCCTGTTGTCATACCTCAAAAAACGCTATCAGATAAAATTTTAACTGTCTGGCATAAGTTTAGAAACACTTTTAATCAAAAAAAAAAAAAAAAACTGTCAAATTGTGGGAAGGTAAGCTGAACAAATTGTGAGATATTACAAAATGTAGGTTTAACATATTACTTTGTTAGGATGAAAATTCTCCTTGTAAGGAAGTTAAAAATTTTTCTGCAGGAGTTCATACTTTATGCATTTGTTCTAAAGCTATTAAGTTGCCACAACTTGATTTACTATGGCTCAGATCTCAAAGAGATAAGGTTGGTAAAAAATTAGGCTACCAAATATATTAACTAGACAAGGAAAAAACAGAAAGACAGGTTAAAGCAGTGAAATGTAAAATAACAGATATTGCATCTTTAGAAAAAAGGAAAAATATGATTAAAAAACCTCACATTAATACACTTGTTCAAATTGAAAGCATCGAAGACAAAGTTTATGAACCAGTGGAGCATGACTTAGATCAAGAAACTTCACCTGAAATAATTAAAGATGTAAATGAAGAATCCTCAGAAGACAACTCAAATAATATCAAACTAAAAACTTCACCATTTATTACCATTTAACAAAATTACATGAAGATCCCTAATACATTACTAGCATCTCTTTGATTTGACGCATATCCTGCTGCTATATCTGCAATTGCATCTGTTTTTCTTCAAGATTTGATCAAATCAGATTACTTGACTCCAAAAATAATTAGTTTAGCATGTGATTGTAAGAAAATTTGGAAAGCAAGACAAGAAGTTATGGCTAAAACTAGAATTTTGTCAGAAAAACTAATTATTGAAGCTCCTATCAAAAGTATATTTGTAAATGGAAGAAAAAAATCCTACTCTAATTTTGATTAAAGATTCAATTACTAAAACGTTTTGTTGAAGAACAGAGAAGCAAGAGAACATAAGTGTTACTTCTGAACCAGATGGAAGCTGTTTGACCAATTACACATCTTTAAAGGGTTCAAATAAATCAGCTAATGAAGCTGCAATCGGTCTTTATAACTGGATGGTTCCTAGAGGAATTAATCAAATTATAATTGTGATTGAATCAGATTCTACAAATTCAATGACTGGATCTGGGAACAAGGACGGATTATTAACTCACCTGGAGAAACTTATTGAAAAAAAATGTTTTGGTCAATTTGCTTTTTACATACTAATGAGCTAGCTTTAAAACACCTTATTGCAAATCTTGATGGACCTACAAACTCCAAGGATGGATTTAAAGGGCCTATAGGCAAACTATTATCAAAAGTAAATCACTTAAAACGACTTGAAAAGTTTGAGCCAATTTGGCAGATTGAACCTTTGCTTTACTAAGATACAAGTTAGTTTCTTGTTTTAAATCAGCTATCTTGAATCCTTCACTCGTCCACCGAAAATGTGGTAATCTCTGCCATAGCAGGCGGCCCACAACTGGTCAAGCAATTATTTAGCTTTATATTAGTGAGCATGGATTGAAAGGTGATATTTTAAAAAATCTAAGTTCTTTCTCAGTTCGTGACTCAAGTATACTTTCATATGTGGTTTAGAGTCAAGGTAAAGCGCTCTATTGTCGATGGACCCATCATCTAATCAAACTTTTTTATCTATTTAGAGGTCAAACAGTCAAAGTTATAAATACTGTTAGAAAATCTGTTCAAAACGGGGCATTTCATGCTCATTCTGAGTCTCTTCTTATTTCTGTTCTTGCAGGCTCATCAAATAAAAATAGAGCTTTTGCAGTCAAGATAATTATGAAAGTTAGGGAAGATTCAGAGCAAGGTGATGTAAATGTAAGAAACCGAAAAAAAACCTACACTTAACTTTGATGCTATGACTCTCCTTGAACTCGTTGACTGGAGTAACGAACAAATCTTAGAGCTAAATTTAATATGACAAAAAAAGATTTTTAAAAAAGTAATAGATTCTTCTATGGAAGTAACTTACTATCCTTTCCACACCCAGTCTTGTGAAAAAGTTGTTAAACAAGTGACTGAGCAGCAGCTGCTGTTTATGGTTTTCAGAGACGTGATGGTTTTATTAGAATAACAATACAGCACAGAGATGTTGTTCGAAATCTGAAATCTAAGAAAGATTTAATGAAACTGGTTAGTCGATGTTCGAGCTTGATTTTAGTGAACATTTTGGTGTTTCACATTTAACAGTTTCAGGAAATTTATCTGCACATTTTAAATTTCAAGTGATACTTTTTTAGAGTTCAATATCCTCACTAATGAGGGCAAATGAATTAAAAAGCATGAGCAAATTATTTTGGTGTTTTTATTTTCAGACTTTTTTGGTGCCATTTTTTGCAAAATATTTCATTTGACAAAAGCATAAAAATAAACTTAAGTTTAGAGTTGCAAATGGCTGAAGATCTCATGTAAAACATGTTAAAAAATTTTGAGGGTGTTCATTGACAAATCTACTTCAAAACTTTAATTTTTACCTAATTTGCTTGGTTTTTTATTACGGTAAAAAGTACTTTTTCAAATTAATAATGCATATAGGACTCTCCCTCCTCCCCTGTACAAATCTGTACGCTTTCGAAGACCTCCCTCCCCCCTCCGCGTAAGCATTACCATTTTTTTTCAAAATTAACTCGATTTTTTTTTCTCTCATTATTTATAAACAATTAAAAAAAAATTGTAACTGAAGTCAGAAAAAAACACAATTCTGATTTGTTACACACGTGAAATTCAATGTTTTTTTTTAAAAAAAAGAAAATCATGTTTAGGATAGTCAAACCCGCATACGAACTCACTGTCTTCAACACCCCCTTCCCCTTTGTTCACTTTTGGGAAACCCCCTCCCCTACCTGCAAAAACCTACCTCTCATAGCTGCGTACGTACTTTATGGATGGCCTCTTATAAAACCTTCCCTTATCCCTTTTTGTTTTTTTGCTTATAATGAACATCTTTTTCCGTAAGTGAAATTCCTTGATTGACTTCAAAAACATTGCCTGCCGAAAATGTTAAAATACGCTCTTTAGTAATAAAAGGCATTTTTAATAAAACACCATGTGAGAAATTATGTTGGAACTAGCTATTCAAGTGTTAATAATTTACTTTTCTGCAAATTACAAAATTTAAGGAAAAAAAATTATAAAAAAGTAGAAATATCTACTGAACGTCTAGTATTTACAAAGTTTGTATGTATAAATTTAATTTTTAAACTTATATTCAAATTTATTAAGTTAAATTTTATAATAATAAAATCTTAAGTTAAGTATAATTTTTTACATTTTCCCTTTCATTTTATTTATTTTTATCGATAATATTGACAATTGTAATCAGTAGCACGCGATATTTTATTTTAGTTATCGATAATCGGCCATATTAATGCGACTTAAAAGCACGGTTGCACTATAATTAAACTTATGCTTATAAAAATCATATAGTTGAAGCTATTTATAATATTTTAACATTAGTATATCTGCAAAAACGCCTAACAAAAAAACTTGAAAATATTAACTAATTTCTCTAACTAAGTTCGATAGTTAGCACATATACACATATAAAAAGACTTTATATTAGACCTAAATTTAATTTACAAATTAAAAAACCAAAAATGTCTAAAAACGTTTCGTAAATAAAAGGAAAAGAATAATCCTGTTAAATATCCCATGTATCTAACCAACGATACGCTGCCTGAGTTCGATTAGGCTGATTACCAAGTGGACCAGACATTCCATAGCTTAGTCCGCGGAAAATATAGAAACTAAATTAAAAATGTAAAACTCTTATAAGGTGAAAATAAATAATTTTTGATAAAATTTAACAAATTTTTTATATCTATAGTTGACAAATCAACATACTGAGGTTATATATAAACTTTGAAAGGTTATAGTATAATAATGGGAAAGATTTAACACAGGGTGTCTGCCAATATTTTAAACTGGGTTTCCCTGATTTTTCTCTGATCCCTGATCCTTTACCTATTTTCCCTGATTTCATTTAAATCTAAAATTTAACAAATTTTTCTTAATATTGTCAACTATAGATATAGTTATAAAAATTTAACAAATTTTCATAGCTATATCTATAGTTGACAAATCAACATACTGAGGTTATATATAAGTTTAGCAAGGTTATAGTATAATTGATATAAGGTTATAGTATAATAGATTTAGTATAATGCTGCGATAGAATTATATCTATAGTTGACAAATCAACATACTGAGGTTATATATAAGTTTAGCAAGGTTATAGTATAATGCTGATATAGAATTATATCTATAGTTGACAAATCAACATACTGAGGTTATATATAAGTTTAGCAAGGTTATAGTATAATGCTGCGATAGAATTATATCTATAGTTGACAAATCAACATGCTGAGGTTATATATAAGTTTAGCAAGGTTATAGTATAATGCTGCGATAGAATTAACACAGGGTGTCTGCCAATATTTTAAACTGGGTTTCCCTGATTTTTCTCTGATCCCTGATCCTCTACCTATTTTCCCTGATTTCATTTAAATCTAAACTCAACTTCACAAAAATTAAACCTAGATTCGTTTAGAAAAATGCTTCAATAGCAAAAATATAAACAATAATACAAGCCACATTAAACGCATTAAAAAAAGTTCATAAATCTGCCAAATAAAATTTTATAATACGTGTACCATATACAACTTACGTAACAAGTTGCGTAAGTTTGATGAAGAGCTATTTTCCCTGATTTCTCCCTGGTTTTTCTAAATTTTAACCTAATTATTCTGATTATCCCACTGATTTTTCTGCAGATATCTGAATTTCCTGACTTTCCTCTGTTTCCCTGATCTGGCGGACACCCGAATGTTACATAAATGTTACAAAAATGTCACATATAGTATCTTAAACATTTTTTTATTAATGTATTGAAATATTTTTTTCAACATTCCAAGCATTGAATAAGCTTTTGATGCACAACTTGTTTCCATTTGAGATTTGATCGTATTGTAATTTTAAGATCTTTTTCGGTATCAGAGACTGCTATTATTTTGTCATCTAGTTTATAAATATAGCGAAGGTTACTTTTTCCAAAGTGCATTATACGATATTTTTCACTATAAAATAATAATTGCCAGATCTCTGACCATTTCAAGTCTTTTTCATTCTGAAGCAATTGACCATCTCAGAGTTAGCTACATTCTTCTGATTAACTCGGTGTCATCTGCAAAAAGCTTAGAGTGTTAAAATCTCTGTTAAGTCGTTGATACATATAATAAGATTAGAGAAATTACCAATCCTTGAGGAACACTGCTTGTTATCATTTCCCAGTTTGATGCTTTATTGCCTTGTATAACTCTTTGGTGTCGATTAGTTAAAAAGCCGCTAATCCAGCTGCATATGACATTTGATATTTTTCATATATATATATATATATATATATATATATATATATATATATATATATACACTCCATAGGACTAAAGTTTGATTAATAATTGTTCATGAGGTACTGTGTCAAAGGTTTTCATAAAGTCAAGATAATAAATATCTACTGGAATGTTTTCCGCTAAAGATTAACTCAAAAGGTCCATTGTTTCATGTGAATTATTATTATTATTATTTTATAAGGTTTACAAATCGGATTTGTATAAGAATAAATGCCTGTCAACCTTTTATACAAATATACTAATCATAAACTGTTATTTCTTTATTAAGATAGTTGTCTAGTTTGTTTTTAAAATGTTTAATTAATACAACATTATTTGACATATGTTTATATATTGTGTCAGATCGACTACTTTAGAAATTATTGAGGTTAATGAAAATGGTCTGTAGTTGCTAGCAATAAGCCTGTTTCCTATTTTGAATACTGGGGTTATGTCTATCAGTAATTGTTAAATCCTCTTTCTTAAAAGTTTTTTTTGTATTTATAGAGCTCCTGGATACCAAAAACTAGGAAGAATTAATCTTTTTGTGACTTTCAAATCTGGAGTCCTTTTTGGGACTTCACATCCCTGATCAAAATATTTATTAGATGTTTTATTTTCGCTTTTAGTTGATTCACCCCCAAATGGCTAATTTCCATATTAATACATAATACCCTTGTTTGGAGTGGCAAAGAAGACGCAAATGCATTAATTCATATATGTTGTTAGGGTTATCGGTAAATATTAAGTCTAAAGATCTTATGGGCATAATACTATCGTCAAAGAACATTGCATCATGTGTTGATGCAATAAAGATTTATATAAAGTATGCGCAAACTTTTTGTAGAATTCATTATCACTTGTTCTGATATCTTCAATTAATTCATTTAAGTACTTCTTGGCCTCCCGACACTTTGGGTCTTCTGGTCCCTGTTGGCCTTCTAGTTTTCAAATTTAACAGCAATTTAAAATTGAAGCGAACTTGCTGCACCCAATGCTCAAGAGAACTATACAGTTCTTTAACCATACCTAAATCAAGAATTATAAACTGCAGTTTCTTGTTAACTTTGTTGAAACTTTCAATAATATTATTCCAAATGACTATTAAAAGTAGTTTTCAAGTTGCTCCAAGCTGTTCAATTTTGGTCAAAAGTACGAAGGCCTCTATTATTGGTTTTGCTTTCTAATCGTCGTTAAGATCAAGAAGAACCTATATAAAAATACTTGTTAATAAGTATGCACAATCACAATAAATATGTTTTTATTTGATTATCTAAAAAATTCTTAATCACCTTGTAAATAGAATAAACCTTTTCAATGGCTAAACAAGCATCAGCACGAGCTGACCAACGAGTTTGTGAGAGTCTTGGGAGCCTTAATATGTATTCCAGCAAGGAATTTTTACTTTAAGACATTGGTGTGTTGATAAAGAAAAGAAGTTATACATTTCTTGAAAAAAGCTAAAGAAATTACCCGCAGCTCCATTGGATTCCGTGGCACTCACTCCTACAAGGTTCAAATAGTGATGGATTCAGCACATGGATTGTATTCGGCAAGAACGTTGATCTCTCTAATTCTCGCTGGTAAACCTAAGTAGATTCCTGACATATTACTGGCATAGTCGTATGAATGGCAACGCCAATTTCGAATGTTGAACACATACTAATCTAACTTTTTGAAAACGTTTTCAAGCATGGAAACTGCAAAATGATTATGCAGGGTAATGAATGCTAAGAACCGCTTAACTGGTTTTTTATGTTTTGTACATATTGGGAGTAGAATCAACGATGATTGAGAAATACTTCGCAAATTTTATTTCCTTAAGAAATTATGTTGCAATAAATAAAAAAATTATACTATAACATGTTACTTAAGGATGATCATATTACCTATAAATTCCATAACCTCGGTAGCTATTAAGTATAAAAGTTCTTTGCAAATATCTTTATATAAGTATGAATTACAACCCTGTCCTTTGTTTCTACGAGTTATCAAGTATTGGATGAGGAAAAGATCAATTTTACTAACAACTCAATACATCCAATAAAGTTTCCATTGCGTATCGATCCTAGCTTTTTGTCTGATCCGTGGAATGATAATCCTGTGAGAATGAACAATAAATAAAATATCCAATTATTTTAAATTTTTTTTAATCAGCATTATATTCTTAAATTTTTTTTTGATTTTTTTTTTTAACCATTATGTTCAAACTCAAAAGTTCTTTCAAGTCGTTAAAAAAATGAAACATCTAGTTTGTGATATGTCGTATGCGCTGTTATTGCAAGGATTAAAAGTCTCTGGGACATAAAAAGAAGCCAAGAAGCCAAATTCACTTAGATGCTCTGGCCCCTTGAACTCCTTGGTCGCCCGGCATGTGTCCAGTGTATCTATTGGTTAAACCGGCACTGATTAGTGTATCAACATTTCAATTCATTGCTTTTGTTGTTGCTGTAATACTTTAAGATTGATAACTTTGTTTTCTTGATCCCATATTGAAAGGGAGAAAGTTTTTCTAAGAGTTATTTAATTCATTCCGTTTAGTTTGCAGTTGGAAATCTAATAATCTTTTTTTCCAATTTAAGGTTCTCTTTTTTGATGCAGCTAATATTGAATTCCGATCAGCCTGATAGTTCGACAACAATTGGATCTGGTTTATCTGTTCAAGATTTCAACCTAATGTGAGTAGGTTTGATTTTTTTCTTATTTATAGTATGAAGAACTTCAGTAATTTGCTTAATATCATCATTTGCTTTGTTAATTATAGTTATTTTACTTGATTCTGCAACTCCAAACTTCAAATATTTTTTCCTCTTGTTGTTGCTCAATAGCTATTGCATTGATAATTATTAATTGATCAATTGGCTTTTTCGAGTTTTTGCTGGCCACTGTTACCCAATTCCAATCATACCCATTACAATTTTAAGGTGGTAAAAAAAAAACTAAAACTTTTTATATCAGCAATTTCAACATAATTAAATTATAATTCAACAATAAATATAATTGCATGAAAAAACTATTGAAAAAAAACTTTCATTTAAAAAATGAAAGTTTTTCAATAGTTTTTGTTACTTATGCTATATAGCTAAAAAATTATTTTTTTAAAAACATTAAAAAGTGCCTGATGCAAGCTAAAATTTTTCATAGCATATAAAAACCAAAATTTTTTCAACTAGCAATTCCATGTTTCTTGGCATCTTGTTTATCAAATCATCTGTTAACTAACATTTCCAGAAATTGGTTTATTGTCACCTAATTTTTTCCTTAGTTATCATTACAAAGTTTTCATTGTTCCCATTTATTTCTAGACATGACTCATACACTCTAGATTAACTGGAATTAATGCTTTCCCATAAGGTTTG